GATGGAACACCAGTATAAAAATATCTAATCTTCAAACTTTAATAAAAGCAAACAAGCTCCTCATCAAAAAGGACAAGATAAACTGCTCCTCGTTACTAGCCTTCAGAGCAAAAATAATCAGCGGAACACTTCCTACCAGACATCTCCTTCACAAAAGATATCCCGATACATACGAAGACAGTCTGTGCCCCAGATGCCTCACCGAAACAGAAACGCAAACACATATCTTTGAGTGCTACAAAAACATACCAGCTTATAAGGAAATAGAAACGAAACTTAGGAAAAGCTTATCAAAGCTTTCAAACAAAAATAAATTATTAAAAAAACCAGACGACATGAACAATCAATTACAAAGACTTAACCTCGGAAGAAGGTCGGGACTGGATAAAGTCGCGTGTGGAATAACAGAAATAGATCTCCACCTATTAACAAAAAGCCAAGCTGAACTTGCAAACAAAACCTTAGCACTGCTCTATACATTAATTTGGGTGCCCAGGTTGGCAACAGCCAACACGTCAGTAGCATCAGGAATTAAATGGAACAACCACCCCTACGTGATAACAAGCAACAACAGAATCACTACACAAAAGAACCCACCGGAGGAGTCGTCCCTGTTAAAACTAATCCTAGAAACAATGAATCCACAAACAGACCCAAACAGCAACCCATTTAAAACACAAGCACTTGCATCAGCTCTGGAAGGGCATTAACCATCCAGCACTTGAACTAATCTAAAGCACATTAAGTATGCCAAGGATAGCGATAGTTAGCATCGTAGATAGGTTAACATTAATTTATGTAACACTATATGTAAAGATGTTTGATGTAACTCGAGTATAATCTTATATATATCAATAAAGTTTTGCATCTGATGCCCTTTCACGATGGAAAAAAAAAATAAAAATAAAAAATAAAAACATATAAAAAAACTTGAATTTTATAAAAATCAAGTCATAAAATTAATATATAACATAAAATTTTTAATTAAAAATAATTATTTAAAATAATATTAATAATATAATTTATAAACTAGTTATAAGTAAAAGTAATTTTATAGTATTCATATATTTATATTTAAATTTATATTTGACTTTGATAAGTTTTTATTGAGTTATATATATTAAGAAAAATTCCAAATAATTTTGGGTACCTCTATATATACAGGGTATTTCAAAATTATTTGAAAAATCACTGTGGTTGATCTGTTATGTATTATTAATCAAAGTTAGATAGGAATATAACACCAAACTGTACAAGTGAAAAAAAGGAACTTTGACAAACTTCTTATAGGATTCTTAGTCTCTCGGCTCTTCTTGTGTGATGTAGGGTAAAGTTAAAATGACTACCAACACTTTCCAAAATCAGCGGCAAATAATATTATCTTTCTGAAAGCAGGGTAAACATTCCGCGAAAGAAATATACACAGTGACTAAGATTCCTCTCTCAACTATTTATTATAACCTTTAGAAGTTAAAGAAAGTAGGAAATGTTAAGCAGTCACAAGGAGCTGGTTATCCAAAAGTAATTACAAGAGAATTATTACAAAAAATAAGGCAATATCTAGAAAAAAATCCTTCCATATTTTTATGAAGTATGATGACAAAATTAGATGAGACAGTTTCCTTAGTTAATCTTTCGCAGCATTTGAAATCCCTCAGTTACAAAAATGCTCTTCCTAGATCAGTGCCAATGCTTACCAGGGTACAAAAGGAGAAATGACTGAAATGGATTAAAAAACACCAGAATGACAACTGGGACAAACCATTTTTCACCAACGAAACCACATTTCAGCTCTTCTGTAACACCGTAGGGCAGTGGTATAAGTACAAAAGGCCGATTTTGCAGATTTTTAAGAATAGAAAAATTTTTTTGTGTAGGGGTTTTCTAAGGCAGGTAAGATTAGACTGTTCTGTTTTAGGGAGACAATGATGACAGAATTTTATGTCAACATACTAAAAGAAAATATGCAGCTCCAACAGGATAATGACCCAAAACATACGAGCCGTCTTGCGAAGTTTTACCTCGAATCACATGTTCCCAAAGTTCTTGAATGGCTGGCCAATAGCCCAGACCTAAATCCAATCGAAAATTTATGAAGCATTATGAAAAAAAACATGGAAAAAAGAATACCACAAAGTTTGGAGGAGTTAGAATTGTTTTTGATGGAAGAATGTGATGCAATTTTGAATATTACTTTAAAAAAATCTGTCAAATCTATGAAAAAGAAATATAAGTTAGTAATTCAGTATAATGGCAACCATATAGACTATTGGTTTTTTTTTTAATAAAAAATATTGATTCTTATCTTTTAAATAAAGTATCAATCATCATGATTGGATTGGTAGTTATTAAATAATGAATAAATATTTTTTTCAAATAATTTTGAAACACCTTGTATATGAAATTTTATATATTTGCTTCTTGTGGATATTAAACTAGAGACATGCATTTGAAAATTTGAAAGTATTATTTGTTATATTATTAATTTACAAATTTTTTTGATTATTTATTTTATTTTATTAATTACATAATTATTAAATTATAAAAAATATATAAATTAAAAATTTGTTCAAAAACTTTTTAGACAAAATATATATTGCTTTTAAGTAAAACAATTTATAAAAACTTTTTTAAATAAATATTTATTTAATAATATAGTAGAATCTGTCTATAGTTATGCTGTTAAACCAATAGTAACTTTTTAAAAAATATTCTTATATACAAGTTATTTTTATGTACAAGTTTAATTTAATATAATTTTAATATGTTTTATATTAACTTGGGCCAGAATAAAAATATAATTATAAAAGGCTTTTTATTATATATTCTTATATATGGGTTGATTATAAACAGATTCTACTGTAATAAGATTTTTATTTATATAAAAAATTTTTTTATTGTTTTTATTGCAACATACTTTATATTTATAAATTTAAATTCTATAAATGATTTAATAAAAATTTATTATAATATTATAAATCAATTCCAATTATTTTAATTTTATTAGGTGGTCCTAAACTTTTGACCAGGGAGTGTATAATGTTTGTAAACATTTTGAATTAAATTGATTAGTAGTGCATCACTTTTTTTATTAGTGATAAACATAAAGTAATCAAATTTACAATATATAATGTTTAACTCGCCAAACTTATGATAAGCTTCCGTATTTTTAAATAATTTTAAAAAACAAAAATATAGAAGCCTATCTATCATTTGGAAAGTAAAACACATGATAAACTAGGTTACTTTAACTATGAAAGATTATAGTCGATTCCTGTATACGCGTTTACAGATCAGTGGATTAGACTTTTGGATTCGTCCCCTTCTAATTTACAAAAGAAGGGTAGCTCCTAGTGGTCGTTCACAACTGAATGCTCGACTAGAAGTATGGAATATGGTGCCAGGCAGTAGATTGTACAGGACGTACACCCTATAACTAGGCCGAAAGAAAGCCTCCACTGCTCAGGAGAATTACTGGGGAGGACCTGCTTGGTAACCGCTCCAAGTGCTATACCCCGGGGTCATTCTTTGTCTGCTAATTCTGAAAGTGTAAAATTGACTACAACCTTCTCATAGCTAAAATGACCCAAGTTTATCGTGTTTTTCCTGTTGAATTGTAAATAAGCTTCTATGTTTTCCTATGGTTTTGTTTTTTCAAATAAGTCAAACTATTAAAAAAACATCGGAAGTTTATTTTGAGTTTAGCAAGTTAAACATTATGTAAATTTGGTTATTTTAACTGTCTACCAGAAATAAAAAAAGTCATGCACAATTAACAGCTAAATTTAGTTTCTTATAGCAATTTAAGTCGAAATGTTCACGATAACCTATTACAGTAACATTTTTTAAGGAAACGAATATAACTGAAGACAGAAATTTAATGCCAGCTTAAATTTATATTTTAGATTGTGTTATTCTTTTTTAAAAAAGAGAAAAGAGACGCAACTAGACTACGATCATTTATAATCCATATATTAGAGGATACGTAAATGCTTAAAATATATTAAACTATAACATTGATTTTAATAAAAAGTCAAAAAAAAAAAAATTCACGTGTAATTATTATAATTCTTTTTAAAACAATACCCTCAAACGTTTTTAACAATTTTAAAAATTAGTGTTGTAAGCAAAAATAGTTTAATTATAAATTACTGTAAAATGGATTCATTATGTGAAACTCATCAATCCTAAGACCGATACGTTTTTCATCATTATCATTTCCTTGCGTTACAGATATTCGTGCAATCGTCATTGGTCATCCTGCTCAAATTATACAAGTTTTTCACTGGTTAATGCTATGACGGCTTGATACTTGTTAACTGTGGCTTTAACTATTGCCTTATTTCCATGGTTTCCATTCATTGACGCGACAATTCGAGCGTATTAAACAAATGTAGTCACTGATGTTCAGGGACCGGTACGGAGAATGACGCGTCGCGTTACATAATTGTTGCGCCAAAGGGATACACGACGTGTAAATATGATGTATGAAAAAATATGATAAGAAAAGTATGACTTATGAGAACCACACATGATGGAAAATATGACATATGGAAATGTAAGGTGCACAAAATATCCGAATATATAAAATAATGCAGTAATTTCAAGAGTTTTAATACAAAAAAAACATGGACGAAACATTTACACAAAAAATACAAATTTTTTCATACAAGGCCTTAAACATTTTACCTTTAAAAAAAAAAACTTTTGATTTATTTAATTTATAAAGAATTAAATCAAAAAAACACGAACCTTTAACTTATAAATCTTAAACACTTGCCTTAAAAAAATGATCTTTATTGTTAATTATTAATAAAAAATCTATTTTTTATAATTCATATACTGTATATTGTATATATTTTAATATACTTTATATTTTTAGATATATTTTTAAAATATTAATATTATTTTATAATTTTATAAATTTTTTAAAGTTTTAATATAATTAATTTTTTTTTTTTGCCTTTAATCAGATTGCAATTCATTATGTTTATTAATTTTTAAATAAAATAAAACAATAATACATTGAACCTGGTATCAGGAAATTTTTTTGATGGAAATTTTTGGAAATCTCTATCTAAAAAATTTTTTAAAATAATAAATTCTGGAAATTTTTATTTCAAAAATTTAAAAATCTTTGAAGTAATAATAATTATATTAAAATAAATAATTATTTAATAAATATTCATTACTTTACCAAATCTTGAAATTATATGAACTAAATTATCTATTGCTTTTATATCTACTAAATTATATATATACTGTATGTTGATTTAAAATATACATATTTATACATATATGATAATTTTTTCGATTTAAAATTATACTATTATATTAATACTAATTGAAATGAAGGTCTCTGAATTGTTCTACTTATCTTTATTATTAATAAAAACCCTCAAAATTATATTAATCTCAAAATAAAATAAGATTTATATTTTAAATAATTATAATTACCTTTCCATAACAGATTTTATTATTTGATATATAGTTACATAATTCTTTAGAGTTCATTTTAATCAATATATTACTAAACTATGAAGTGTTATGATATTTATTAAATGCTTGGACAATTTCTCTATTCTTTATTATAATTGTTTCAAATATTGTTAATATAAAATTATTTATTGAAATATTCAAAGAATTAAAGTATAATTTTAAAA